AAACTGGTGGCATGGGCCACTAGAGAAACTAGGTAAAGAGGAATGGTGGAGAAGAAGGTCTGAAATGTTGTCACAAGTACGAAGCGTTTGTGCTGATTTAAAATCCAGTTTTGCCTAACACCTTGAGGAAGGCAGATGCACTCCCCTGAAAATAGTTACTTCTGGGTGTATATACAACAAAAGTGTAACGGTGTAACTACCACAGAGAAAATAGCTCACCAGAACTGAAGGTTATTCACAGGGATGGAATGTGAATCACCGCCAATTCACTGATTAAACAGGAAGGAACAGCAGTACTCTATAGAAGACCTTTATATATCTATCTATCTATCTATCTATCTATCTATCTATCTATGTACACACACATACACACACTGTACTTGCAGTAGTTCATGGGACTGTTTGTGAACAAAGAATCTTTGGAAGGCTCCATTCCCACCATTGGAACAGCTGCTTTCCCAGGCGTAAAACATCGTAGAGTCAGTGAGAACTCTGTCAACATGTCCAGTTTCTTGAAAGGCAAAAATTTAATACATCTTCCAAACTGTGAAAAGCCAGTCCAGTTCAGAGATGAGTTAAATAAGAATAACTGAAGTGGGAGGAGGATTGTTTCTTCAGATGATTTGTAAGGTACCTGTAAAGAGCTGATATAGTTACTGAGAAAGTGAAAGCACAGAAGAAAAGTTTTCCTTTAAGGAAAAAAAGAATATGAATTTTTACCAAAACCTGTTCTTCATGATCTGCAATTCAAGTCCCATAGACAATGTGGCCTTTCCTTGTTGTGGAATCTGTTGCTGTTAGAAAAAAGTTAATGAAATCAAAATGCATTGTGTCACAAAAAGAATGCACTAAGAAAGACTTGAAGCCAAAATCCAGAAGGCTGACCATGCAGCACTCCCTTCAATATCAAGCTTTTCAGCAAGGGTAGTTGTTTGGCCATCCCATGCACTCCGCACTATTGACTTTCTTTCATCCATAACAAAAATACAAATGATGCAAGTGCTAACAGGGTACAAAACTCACCTACAGTTTTTGTGGCGTTTCTGTTCATTTCTGCATTACATGCCTTTGCTAAATTAATATAAATGTTTCTGTGAGTGTTAAGGGAAAAAAGATGCTGCTTGTTTAAACAATTTTAATGAAGGTCTAACCTTTTACATTAAACATCTGTTCCCTTCATTTATTTTCTGGCAGCAGTTCATATGTTTTCTGCAAAGGACACAGTATAATGAACATATACCAGATTATTTAAATGAATGGTTTTAATGAGTTCTTTGAATAGGTTTCGCTAAAAAGTAAGCATGAAATTACTTTCTCAGTTGGGATGCTTTAGCATATTTTAAGAAAACCATACATAATCACTTTCCAACAAACATAGGCCTTAGTTGCTTTAACATTCCAATGCCTTTGAGTGCTAATAAACTAAAGGAGTTGTTTCATGGGAGTAATAAGTCAGTACAGTAAATTGATGTTTTAATGTATTGTTACTCCCCAAGAAATTTGTTTTTTCCTATAGGAAAGGGGAAAATGCTTTTCATTTTATCAGAATGGGATGTAAGTTTCTAAATAATGGAAAGATATGGACAGGCCTGATACTATAGGCTTTCATTAAAAGGCTCCAGCAACAGACTTGATTATTAACTTATTAATACTCCTAAGAAGGAACTGCATCCAAGTTCCACTTGAATAAACTCAGGCAAAAGTTATTTGACTTCACCAAGTGATTTAGTTTCAAAATTATTAAACTTTGTCCCTGACTCTACTTATGCTTTTTTGTATTCTCTTATTGCAATATGAAGTGTTAATTCCATTCAAATAATTAGAATTGAGCATAGTTCACCATGTAGCCACCAGGAAGAAAAATATGCCAAAAGTCTAAATACATTTGCAGCTGCCTATAATAATGTCATTCACTTTTGAACCAGCAGAGGGTTCTTTACACGATTGGTCAGATGGTTTAGAAGTTACATTTAACATTATTTAATTGCCCTGATTTGTCTCTATTGATTTTGTAGGTGTACAAATAGCAGCACTGCAATGGAAATGCAACCTGAATGCGAAGTTTTAGAATTTTTTTATCAGTGGTATTTTGCCTTCTTAGAACAAAATCTATTTTTCCTATGGAATAATGTAATAAGGTGGGCCCTGGTCTTGAAAGTCAGATCAGGTAAGAGACAGTCTATTTAAGCAGGGTTACAACAGTTGGCAATCTTTTTCTGAGCATAAGGCTAATAAGCATGTTCATTTATGCATTGGGTAACTATAATATAGACAGCTGGCAGTGAGCCTAAAAAGACATTTTGGTTAAATTTTTAAAAATTTCACTATGATTTCTATGGCCTTGACTTTAGCTTTATATATAGCCATTTCTAACTTTGTTCTAAGCTTCTCTATTGCTTCTGGGTGAAACCACTACAAAAATGCACGGAAAATGAATCAGCACATTCCTCATCCTTCACTCCCTCTGCCCATGGAAATATACTATGGCTGAAAGAGATCGAATCTTAAGCAATCAGTTCGCTAAAACCTTTGCATAGCCTTGCATTACATTGTGATATATTCTCTTATCACTGATGACTTCATAGAACTATAGTCAAAATATAACTTCTGAAAGCATATTAAACTGCTGTTGTTTTTCATGACAGGTATCTTACCTCATGGTGTAATATTAATTACTAAAATACTTAACATTCATCAATATTAATAAATGCCTTTGTCACTTCTAACATCTAGGGTCCTTATCATTAACCAGATACGCATCAGATGCTTAATATGCACGTTTAAATACCTCCAGTATATTAATGTAAAACATGATACAAAGTCCAGGCTTTATACATGGAAAGCCTGAGACTGCTGTGGATCACGTTTATCTCACATCATTTTATTTTTTCATGCTTATTCACTGTTACCAGTGGAGGAATCAGCAATTTCTACATAATTTTTGTTCAATTAGATCTTGGACATAGATATTGATGCCACTGTTAGCACCAGCATCAGTTTGGCTCCAACTTTTCATATTACTGAAATAATCTGTCCTTTCCCAGAACTCTTATGCCTATGGTGTTCACACATTTTTGAAACCTTGTAGGTCCTGCTTTTGGTCTGTGTCGCCAAAGTTTGCCTAAGTTTAAGTATCTATATTCCTTCAGCATCAGAAATCCGTGGTATGAATGTCTACATTTTTTGTAGACTTACTTTCAGATTTTTCTTTTTAAGTAAAAATGTTGAAGTAATGCTTACATTGTGAAAGTCTTCTATGATGCAGGTTCCATTTTTCTACTTTTCGTATTGATTGTGTCTTGGAAACCTCAAGATGTTTTACAATGCTGGGGAAACAAATCCTCAAAGGAAATATAAGGCTTATTTCCTAAGACAGCTACCTGAACAGGATAACAGAATTAAAGCTTTTCCACTTGAATTCTGAAAAAAGGGCCTGTTCCTCACGCTAACAAACCCTAACAAAGTAATATTTACTTGGTGTAACAGTTCTGAGACTGGGAGTAACAAGTTCTTTTATTTTCTTGGTAATTATTGCTTAGATAAAGATCTGCAATCCTGTCAAGTGAAGAATGCTGTTTAAGTCCAAAAACTTATTTTTTTTCACTCAGTAAGGAGCTATTTGCAATAAGAACCAATTTGCTCCTAAGAATGATCATGTCTGCAATACTGAATGTACTACTTTGTAGTTGGAAAAAAAGTTTCTTTTGCTATTATTTAAGAATGACTAAGATCAACCAAGAAGGTTTCCACCTTAAAATCCTTTGAGTATGCCACTTAACAGCAGTCTATGACTATTTTATGTGGTCCTTAAAGTGCTTGATAGTCCCATAAAATTTTAACCTTTATTTTATTGGTAACTGCTACTTTTTGTGTTATATATCTAAAGCCAGTGAAAAGATTTTTCATTAATCACATGAGTTTTTATTTTATTTTTCACATAAAAAAGCTTTCTAATATCTTAATAGCAGGATTTTGTGTATGAAGTACGTCACGTTCAGCATGCATTCTTCTGCACTCTAGCTTCTGGACTAGAAAGCCATGTTTAAATCACTCTGGGCATTAAAATTAAATGGGTAAATGACTGACTACATGGACTGGCAGGGTTATCCTGCAGTGGTTAGAAGGCAGTAGAACACAGAGTTGTGACATCAAGTTTTAGTATATCTTTGCTTGAGAAGCAGGGTAAAAATTATTGAAAGGGTTTTTTTTTATTTATTTATGTATTTTTTTTAACCTGATAACTGAAGGAGACGTGAGCAATTACAGTGTGGAAGGTATAAAATATTCCATCAGCAACCAAAACCTGCAGGGACGTTTTAGTTTTCATGCAGAAGAGGTAAAGCATGGTAAAAGACTTTTCAGGCACAAAACTGAATGAAGTTGCCCTAATTAAGATTACTAATAACCTTTTCATTATCCTATACTTCTCTGAAGCATTTTTTAAGCTTCAAACAAGCCTAGCTTCTTCTCAGATGGTACAAAGAAATCACAGGCATTTCTCAGACAAAAATCTGATGACAAATAAAAGTTGCAATTTGTCCAGACCTGTCATGTTATGCTAGTGAAAGCCAATGGGTGAAGTGACAGCAGGTTGCTCAGTTGAAAGGGAGTCAATGCTGTTCTACAAAGAAGCAATTGCTTCAGAGAGTTTTAGTGTGTTTGCAAATAGTTTCATTTGGGAATTCTTCTCTCTTCTTCCCCCTCTAAAAAGCACAGTTGCACACTAACTTACCTGACAGGTTGGCAGATAGCACCAGTCAGCAACCATTAAAATGATGCAGACCAACACCATTACGGAATAAGGAAAGCTATTGTTCTGGTTTTGGCACAACAGCTGTAGAACACTAAGTGTTAACATACTGATCCAAAGGAGCTGTGGCTGGCACTGCCCATCGCTGGTGGGGTACGGGAGAGGGGCAGTGTGAGGCTGGGGAGACCGCCCTGCAGCCCTGGGGCCCATCTCCATTCCCTCAAGATGACTGCCCAGCCCAGGCACTTACCTTCTTGCCACCCAGGGCCTCAAAGTGGCTCCGCAGCTCCTCCACAGTGATGGGGAAGTGCTCGGTCTGCTGAGGGCCACCTAGAGTCTCCTCCTTCAACACATCTGCCCTCCTGCTGTCTGCCGGCACTTTCTCCGCGGTGCTGCTGCAGCTGATCTTACCCGGCACCAGGGACTGCGGGGCTGGCGAGCACCAGAGTGTTGGGCCAGGTCTTGTAGCACTGCTGGACTCCCATCTCTGCTTGAGGAGCTCCACGGAGCCCTTCTGCAGGGGAAAGTCTGCCAGCTCCAGCGTGCCCTGCCAATGCAACATGTACCTGGGGTCAGAGACCAGCAGCACTGTGCTGGCAGAGGCCACTGTGGGGCAGCTTGAGAGCCCTTGCAGGTCACAGGACAGGAGAGGGCACAAGCTGGCAACCGGGACAGAAGCCACTTCCCAGTGGAAAGTGAGATCCAGTAAGACCAGATCCAGTAAGTCAGTGAAAGGGTTCAGAGTGTTCATACAGGAGGAATATGTTAAAGAGTGAATCAAGGGTGGTGTCCAGATATTTTATTCTTAAGCTTGCCAGCAGAATTGCTGTCTATCATGAATGGAAAAGCAGCAAGCACGCAGTTAGGGAGAATTTCAAACAAAGTGGGACTAATGAATGAGTGCCTGGTAATCAGTGTGTGCTGCAGTGAAAGGTGTGACAGGTGACTGCTGGTTTCTTGTAGATTTGATACAGCTGTCAGTATTGTAGCGTGAGAGTGTGTTTTAGTGCAGCCAGGAGACAAAAGGGCTACTGCATTAGCTGTGAGAGTACTTGGATAGTCTGGAAACACATCCCAGTACGGTGCTTCTAATTGCACCATAGCTCTTCTGGTAGGTAAATAACTAAGTGCTGATACCAGATCTTTCTGATCAGTTGACTGTGCTCTCACAAAGGCTTATTCCATCTTTCTTACAGTACGCTTGGGAAGGAAAATTGCCATTCTATCATTTTGCACCAGATGCTGAAATCTGCTACCCATTTTCTGAAATCAGCTCCCAAGAGGTTTTTCTGCCCTGTAGCAAATACTCAAATGTAAGTTTTCCTCTCTCATTCAAAATGGGTTTGAGTAGAAAGAAATGCATTTAAAACGGTAAAGAGAAAGAAATCTTAACAAGAACTGAGACCAAATTACTAGTTAAAATCTCCATTTGTTAGCCCCTCCTTTCTTAGCAAGAGTTTGTTATGTATCTAACTGGGGGTTTTTGGTCAATTTTGATTAGTGAGAATTAGTGTGGTCTGCAATGTTTTGCTTAGGAGGAAAAAACACAGGAGAAGCACTGGGTATTTGGTGTACTCCAAGAATATTTTTAAAAGGAAACTCAAGATGCATCTTCCTTGAACAGAATAGGAAAGAGTTTCTTGGCTTACAGCTTTCACCTTCTTTCCAATCAGAAATAGGCCCAAGACTTGTCTCTCCTTTAGCTTTTTGGCAGTAGTAGGTTGTGACTATGTCTAACGTCCTGCTAGTTCCGCTTGACTGATGCAAGCTGTATCTCACACTCTCCCCTTCCTTCCCCTACTACATGTGGGTGTTCTTAAGCTGTCTGGTTCCATCAAAGATACTAAATGGGTCTGACTTTTAAACCAAAATGAAGAGCAGCTGTTAAATTCACCAGTTGCAAGAATGTTCAACCTAACTCGTAGCTGTATGATAGAAATACTCCTGATTGATGCTTGCATCTAAGGATTGACTGAAGACTGTGAAGCACGCTTTTCCTAATTCAGGTGAGTGTGCTTATGCAATATCCACATTTCTCCTATGTTTTGCTTCATTGCTCGTGGGTTCTTTTGTTGGTTTCAGTGGTTTTCAGAGTAGGTGGTGCACCGTCATTCCAAAAAAGTCTGGAGTTTGTCTCCTTCCTCCTCCTTCCTTCCCATTGCACTAAATCCCTGCTCAATAACAGTCAGATAAGAGCCCATAAAAATGAACAACATACTTTAAAAAAATTATCAATGTGATAGTATAAAGGTATCAACCAGGTTAAAGCTCTGCAGGGAGCATTGCCCTCTCATTTTCCTTGGTTTGGGAGACTCAGGTGTGCTTCTGTGGCTAAGTGATTCATTGGAGAGAGGAAGATTGCAGTACCAAACAAATTGTTGGCTAGTGAGCAGTCGTTCTGACAGAAATTGATGCTGGAATTTTTGTGAAGGAACTACCTAAAGTGCTATATAAAGGTCTTCAAAAGGAGGTCTTTGTGAATGCTGCCTATAAACCTGTTGCATGAATGTGTGCGTTTTATGAGGCCAGTGATAGTACAGCATTCAAACACTGGAATCAAACAGCAGGTTTTACTTTTTTCATGTTTCTGCTCTGCAATCTTTTGGATCTTTCTCCCACTGATTTTGTAAGAGGCCTAGCATAATTCTTCATTGCATGCTGATAAATGTATAATTTTCCTGAGCAAAAAGCTATAGGAAGGCCTGTAGATTTTGTAGCCTTGTGCATTGCAGATATCCAGTAAATTTCAGGGTTTCTTTTTTACACCTGAAGTTGTTGATAAATCTGTCTTCACAGTAGGATCATTGAAATGGTATTTTTCTTACTGTCCTGTAAATGAGATAAGCCCTCTTCTACTGTTTACAGACTATTTATTCAGTTGGTAGTGAATATATTCATGCAAGTAATTAAAAGAGCTCTTGAGAAAAACTATTATCAGTTCTGCTGTATATTCCTTTTCCAAAATGGGTACTTGCATTTTCATCATATTCTTGCTATCTTAAATGTTTCTTACATGTAAACTCTTTCATTTGTTCACTAGCAAACAAGTAAATAGAAATTGTAAAAATAGTAAACTGATACAGTTTATTTGTAGAGATATTTGTGAATAGTGTTGGTATGTTCATTTAGTTGTATCCCCATGGGATGATATAATTATGCATATTGTACTGGTGAGTCCTCTCCTGACAGTCGAAAACAGCTGCCATTTGCCATTACATACTAGGCTGGATTTCCTTCTCAATTGAAGAACAACAAACAAAGAAAAAACCCAAACCAGAAATCTTTTGAGGACAGGATTTGATAAGTCTTTTCCATGATCCCCCACGCTATTTCATTCAGCTCTTGCCTCTGACAGCTCCACTTCTGTCCCACCCTGGATGTCTGGTTCCAGTTGACGTGCACTCTCAGGAATCCCTGGCATAAGGATCCACAGGCCATCTTTGGACAAATTACGAGAGAAGAACCCACTCATTGCAAATGAAGACTGTATCTCATTCAACCCAATGCATTTTCCAAACCACTTAAAGAACAACCCCCAGGATCCAGAGAAGGCTACTGAACAAAAAGCAGCTGACCCTTTAGCTTATGGCAATGCTGGGAAGAGAGGCAGGGGGATGAAAGAGAGGACCAGTAGCTGCCTAAGTTCTCCTCTAAATCTAGTCAATAATAGAATAAAATAGTTCAGTTGTAAGGGATCTACAGCAGTCATCAATATTCATTGGCCACTTTACTAAATAATCTCTTCTCCCATAAGGACTCTTTAAACATGCACATGATAGCTAGGCGGACACTTCTGACACCATTGCTTGAAAAGCTTGCAGTTTCTTCTGCAGGTAACCAGAGCCTCAAGTATCTGTAACATTTCTTCATGTACATTTCAGACACTTCTTAACAAAAGGAGCTCAGATAAGTGTATGAAAAGAGCTAAAATAGTTCTTGATTACTACAAAATGTAAAACACTTCCAAATTCCTAGTCATATTCTGAGCAATTAATTAATTTGAGCTGTCATTTAACATGCCAACCTTTATCCTGATACAAATATGCATAGCTAAATAACGCAACTTCAAGAAATGTTGTTTCAACTCTAAATTAGGGCAGACCCCTCTTCTAGCAAATGTAACAAGGTTCCAGTATTTTGAGGTAAATCACACTGGAACACTAATTCCTGCATCTTACCAGCAAAATCAACATGTTTTCTCACCTAATAAAAGAGGGCTAGAAAGTGCATTATTCATATTCATGGGAATTGAGGAAAGACATGCTTATTTTTTTTTTCCTTTTATCCCCTCATTCTCATTTATTACATGAACAGTATCAGGCCCCACGCTACACAGCCTAATTAAAAAAAATATTAAATTGCATATTTATACTGAGCTTATCTTACCGCTGTGTTCTTCTCAGTCAAGTTTTCCAGTTGTGACTCTGCTGCAGTCATTGTGTGCCTGTTTAAAGGAAGACAAATTTAAACGTTCTCTAATTCATTCATTGGACTAACAAACATGAAGCTTGATAGACACACGTCTGATAGTAGTTACAAGACACCAAATCCCTTACGTGCTTGCCTTGCCAATGTATTATTTAGTGAGGCATGGAGGTAAAGTATGCTTTCTGCCATACCTCTGGCCGTACTGCATGTGCTCACCTTACACTGCTTAGCAGTGGCAAAGGCTGGAGGTAACAGCTTTTGTTTCAGTGCTTGTTGGCAGGAAACAAAGGACCTTCTGGTAAAAAATAGTTGGCTTTTAAGTACTCAGAAAAGGTTTGGAGAAAGAGTACAATTGATAAGTCGTAAGTCAAATGGATAAGAAAGTACTGTGTACATTCAGTATCATTCAGACCACGTAATGATACCACATTCCAATGCAGCTAGTTTTCTAAATAATAAACATAATTGCTTTTCAAGGGATTCATTATGCACCAAAGTACATATTATAAATCATACGGGAAAAAAAGGTAGAAGAATTTTCAAAGCTCTTCCTCTCTCTTTCATTCTGTTTTCATCTGCTGTGTTACAGGGCTGTTACTTTTTCTTTTTTCTCCCTCCCCTCCCCCTCCCCCCAAACTGTAATCAAATTGTTTAGATTAATCTCTAGAAGTTGAATGAATAAAAATCCTGTATCTGGTATGTGAGGACAGTCTGACATTAGTACACTCAACTATAACTGATACTACAGAAAGATGTAATTTTGCTACTGTGAAGAACAGTAAGGCAAAAAAACCCTCAAACCCACCCTCCACACAAAGAGACTTAAGCAAAATATCTCTTCTTTCTTTTGCAGAAGAAAAAGAGCTGTGGGAGTGGGACCTTTTGGAACAGTTGTAGAGTTTTGAAGTATTAGGATTGGATTTTTTTTTTATCTTTAAAATTTAAGAACAAGATCAACTGAAAGCATGCTCTGAAGTTAAAAGGGAAGTTGCATGCTCTAAAACCTTCTGAACTCCAAATGCTCCTTGCACATTCACCTATTCTCCCAAGTGGAATGGTTCTTTTGAGTGTGCAAAGAATTGAGGAGGAGATATCAACTGTTGAGACATTTTTCTTTTCCATTTTTTACTCTATTCAAATGAACATCAACTTATGCAGTTTTCAGATAGAGTACACTATGTGTTCTCTTTTTTAAACCTTTGAAATAATAATTATTTTCAACATATAACTGCAGAGCAAGTCAAGTTGCTTTGTACTAGCATTGAATTTTTATATCAAATTTACTTTAAAAAATATGATATTAAAGAGCATTCTGAAAGAGAA